TTGTATAGATTTCCAATAATTTTAATTATTTCAAAGGTGGCGAGTTAAAAACATAAATACAATTTTTCTAATGAGAACAATGAGGCAATCAAGTTGTGTATAAAATGTTTATCAAATGTTTATCAAAAATTCAATTCAATTTAATATAATTAAATTAAATAGTTAAAATATCAAAACATCCTACGCTACATTTTAGAATAACCCATATAAACAACATAGTATAAATTCGTGCAGAATCGGTTATATAATGTTAGAGATATTCTGCCGGCCTGGTTGGAGAACACTATTTCGAGAAAAACGTCAAAGCGGTCTTAGAGTATTATTTTTCCCACGTAACGAAAGCTTTTTTAAATGTTACCTTCAATCAACTATTTTAGGTTCACCCAATATACTTGAAATTTTAAGAAATTTTAAACAGAATTTGATTCTTTTAAACCGTCAAGGGTGGTGTAACCAATTAATTAATCAAAAAAGAGTCAGGATATAGAAATTGATTTTGAAATTATACTAATTACGAATTCTAATGTGAAACTAATATGTAGGTCCAACATGACAGTCTGTGGAATGGAAATTCATTTTCTCTTTGTTCGTTTTTTATGTAAATTTTAAGTCTTGCATAGGCAACTAAAATTTCACGGTTTGTTCAAGATTTAGTATTGTAACTTTCCATGTAAGTTTTTTATTTTGAAATGAGAAATTGATAGAAGTGTCTAGTACGACATTTTTATGAGAACTTGATTACAAGATAAATTATAATAATAGAAAACAATTGTAATGATGGCAGTAAATTTTTATTTTAAATTATATTTTTCTACATATTAATATGAATATTAATATTATCGATGATTAGAATGTTGCTGATGTTTTATGTATTGCAGAAAAATTATTTATAGTATCAGAGGTTAAATGAAATGCCATTAGCGCGTTTAATGTCATTTAATTCACATGATTTTCCATGCACACTGTTCACGCGATACAGATTACCCTATTATTATAAGATGTGCCTCAGAATTCTGCTGAGACTAAAAGAATGATTATTATTAGCAAGAAGAAGGGGTGATGTAGAACGTGCACTATAAAATGAAACATATTCTTTTGTTTAAAGATTATGTGCATAATTAAAAAAATATGTATTGCATTTTCTTACGACAAATTGTATCAATGAATTTTGAATTAAAAAAAATTGTACCTCTTCTTCATGCATAATCTTTACAAAACCAAATTTTGATAAAACAATTAAATGTTTAACTTCAAAAATTATTTATAGAAATCTACGGCACAGATTTTACTTCCAATTGAAAAATAAAATAGTTTTACTTTTATTTTTAACAACTTTATCTTTTCAGGAGAAAACAAAATCTTTGTTACAATTTTCTTTGATATATCTCGTTTCAGTTCCTTAGTTTCCAAAATAGACTGAAAAATACTAGAAAAGATTAGAACGAAACGAATGTGTGAACTTCGAAAATTGTTTGAATATTTTAACCGTATATCAAGTTACAAGAATGTACATCGTTTTATTTAGCAGAGTCTATAAAATCATTTTTACTACATCGCTTAGAACACAATCTTTTCTATTTTTCAGAGTTTTCATCGTATAGATACACTTGTTAAAGTAAATACATCATTCGAAAGACGGTTTTCAGATATGAATCGTGTTTAAAGTACAGAAGTACACATGGAATTGCCTATTGGCTGTTTCATCAGAAAATATGTTTTGAACGATGTTATCAAAAACGTGATTAGAAATTTCATCATAGCTCATCAAATAAGCTGAGCACAACGTAAGCTGATGATTAAAGATTGGAAGTGGTACGAAATCACGTAATTATTAAGCGATTAAGTGATTACGATTCACGAATAACAGCGAGTACAATCGACAGAGGTGATCTACTTAATAAATGTTCCTCGTGATAACATTCTTGATTATGATTAATTCAGAAATTTAATAATATTATAGTAATAATGATACTGGGTAATAATTACGCAGTGAATAGATTAAACGAAGTATTTATATATAATGAAAATTAAGAAAAAGAAGAAAGTTTCATAAAAGAACAACTATTCCGTTAGAGATAGTAGTGGAGCGTTATATACGACAAAATTATTCTATCAACAGTCTGTTTCGTTGTAAAACCTCCAAAGCTAAATTTGTAGTTTCAATGAAATTATTTACAAAATTGAAAAGCTTATCACAAAGTGTTTTCTTTTTTTTATTATAATACATTAGCTACCAAAGCTACGTCATACTTTAGAAAAAGTAGAAAGTAATTTATTATTACTGATTAAACCCAATAACATTATATAGTAATTATGATAATTAATTGACTAAATGTCAGTTACAATAATTAATTGATTTCTTATTTATTATAACGAATAATTGCTTGGATGTTAATTATTATAATAAGTATGTAAATTGTAATAACAGCAATTACTATTAATAATTAACTGTTGCTCAACTTCCTCACCGACGACCCATGCGTCATCCACCGTGTTAACGAGTGACTTGTCCAATTGTTATCAATATTATTATCATAAGTTAAATCATAACTAAATATTGATTCTGTAGAAATATTTCAAAGAAACAGAAAATTTTCGAATATCCAGTATCATACTCGAACCCCTTGCGACTGCAACCATTACCTAATATCACGTGTCTTACAGCTAATTGTAAATTATTATGAACATACAAAACTTTCAAAATCAAAGGGTATAGCAGAATAAGTTTCATTCGATAACTTACCCATAAAAAAATATTGTACACCAATTTTCAGTCCTCTGTCTCAACCAGAAGGGTAGTTACAGGGTAAATTTGAATGATCAGTTTTTGTCCTATTTTCCCTATTTAAAAAAAATAAATAAAAATTGTAAAAACGTTCTCAGCCATGCACTGCTATGCCAAAAATGTCTCCGAATATTTTTACAATTTTTATTTACCATTAACCCCTTGCTCTATGACTTGTTTCTGAACTGATCAATCCAACTACAGTGTCATCAGTAATTTATTGAAAATAAAAGAAAATTCCAGTCTTATTCTATATCAACGTGTGCTCTAATATACAATCATTGATAGCAGAGGAATAGTATGTAATTTGCAATCAAACAAATTGAATAATATTTATGTTTGTTAAATTCTATTTGAAATCTTCACCACGAGTGTAACACGATATTGTCGAGCAAGGGGTTAAACAGGGAAAATGGGACAAAAACTGATAATTCAAATTTACCTTATAACTACCCTTATAGTTGAGATAGAGGACTGAAAATTGGTTCACAATATTCTTTTTATGGGTAAGCTATCGAATGAAACTTTCTCGAGACAAATTTGTCTAAAGGAATTTTTGACCCCCTTATCTTGCTATACCCTTTCTTAAAAGTGAAGACTCATTCTGTGGAATACCTAAAGATTTTATAATGCTGAAATTTATACCCAACATCATTACCAAGGTGATGGCCACATCCTGACGCTCTCTTTGTAAAACGAAACAATCACTTGGCTTGCAATGATGTCCTTCACACGTGAGTGATAAAGTCAAAAGTGAATTGCACGACTCCCACTCGAGGTTCTTTCTTGCTCGTATGTAAACGTGGTTTTATTGAATTATAACTCAAGCCAACACGAATTTACTACTTTATCTCAGATTCTCTCAACTGAGCAGTGTAAAATTCAACAGATGTGTTTCACTGGCCCACGTAGTCATCGATAAAATCCCAATCCAAGTGGTTGACTCGTTGTTCATAATTTACCCTTTACACTCTAGAAGAGACTGACAGTCGCCATTTGATTAAACGCAGCAAAATTGTAAAATCTTGAATTCAATGTTAAATTTTGTATAATCTATCAACACATGAAATATTGAAATAAAAGAGTTTTGTCCCTTAATTTATGCAAGATTTTTTTTGTATTAGTTGCAGGAAATATTATTAAATATCAGAAAACTGATTATAATGAAAAATATCGTTGAAGTCAGAGGGTTATCCATGCCCCTCGATTATTCTTAGTTCTCTTACTTATTTGTCACAAAATCCTTTGACTTAGTTATAATTTAATATTTGGTAATTATAAATATTAATATAAGGTGAATCGCTGCGTATCGTTCTTCCCTTCAGTTCTCCTTAAGTGGGTCAGGGTCACGATCAAACGGTCAAGGAAGGTTACATCAAGACTACAATGACGCCGCCTAATTCCAGGGATCAAGCCTTTCAATTTCTTAAACTGCATCCATTTCTTTTCACTGACCCTGGAACGTTATAATATTGTTTTCCCAATTCATGCAATCATAATAATAATAATAACAATAACAATACACTGAGAATAACAGAACATTTTTGTAACAGCAAGTAAAGACCGTAAGTAATAAAAGTAAAAGAAGACACAAAAAAGTTGAAAAAACATAATAACGATAACAATGTACTTAGAATAACAAAAAATATTTGTAACGACAAGTAAAGACCTTAAGTAAAAAAGATACAAAAAGTTGAAAAAACATAATAACAATAACAATGTACTGAGACTAACAGAAAATATTTGAAACGGCAAGTAAAGGCCTTAAGTAATAAAAGTATAAGAATGAAAGTAGAAATAGATACGAGAAATTGAGAAAAAAAACAGAAATATAAATTAATTAGTAAAAAATAATAAGAAAGATTGCGTGTAATGTTGTATAAAACTCGCCGGCGAAGCACCGCTGTGAACCAGATACAACTAGACAAGAATAAAGTAGAAGGAATAAAAAGAAAACGTAAATAGAAGTTGGAAATTGATAAAAAGAACAAAATCGAACGGATTACGAAAGCGTGACGGAAATGATGTAACGGAACGGGTAAAAATACGAGTATAAAAATGACAGCCGGGTGCAAAAAATAACCGATAAGAAAGAGCGATAGGGTTGGATTGCCGAGTAACTTTGAGTGGCCTGTATTTTCAGAGCACGTGCATCTGCCGGCGATATTATCGGTAACACGTATGACTAATTGTTCCGTATTGCGTATACTTCCAGATCTTTCTGGGAAGATTGTCGTCCCGGCTATAAGTGACGCACACAATGGCATCGTTGAGGCTGTTGGTAGGGGTGACGAGTGCCATAGGCGCCAGTGCCCTCACCTCTTATATGTTAATGTACGATGTAAGTATGGAGTAACCAATCTGCAAGATGGAACCTGTCCCCCAACTGACTTTCGCAGAAAACAGAAAAATAAGATCATTGACCCTAGCAAGCGTGGAGCTTTTACAAAAAACAAATGGAACGCCGTTACCATTCTCTCCCACGAGTCCACAATATTGGGTTGAAGCAAAATTTCTGATGTTTTTATTTGTAAGAAATAAAAAGAAGTGTTCTCAACTGTTCACTGGTTAAACCGAAACTAAATAAAAACGAAGAAACAATGTTAAAGTTTGAAAACAGATGTCATTTGTTTCGAAGGAAACAATTTCTTTGTTAACACTAGAACTACCAAGCACTGACATTGACTATTTGAAATTCCTCTATAGAAACTGTAAGAGTGCATCTATTGAAGTTTTAATTGATTTACAATTCAGTTTGCGTATTGCCAAATCAATTTCTTTAATAACTTTTAAAAAAAGAATCTGTTATGTTTTCAATAATCGCAAAAAGGAGAAATCAGGAATGGGTGATTTTGACCCGTTCTAGTGTTAATCATGTACTTAGGAAAAAACGTCAAAATTTTTGCATCAACCCAATGCTCCGCAGGCTCCCGCATGCTTCCCGAAATCCAGATGTAGCCGGTTAGTTTCTCAAGACAAGAAGTTATTACAGACCGTAGTCTGAGCCGGTAGTCAAGGCTGCGAGACGATGTTTCGTGATCAGGCAACGGTCACGTGGTCGCCAAAAATTTTACCGTCGGTAGAAGGTCTGTGCCAGACAAGACCAGGCCAACCTATTTCGAACGCAATGCGAATTGTTCCTGAAATCGTATATCCCTATACATGCATGTACTGTTAAGAGATCACTTGATGTCTAGCGGAACGGCACAGGTGCAAGAGATGTCCTTTTGATTTACAGGTTTATAGGTTTGATTCGTTACGTGTAACCGTATTGACGAATAATAAACTAGCGATCGAAAATATCTAGAGTTAAGAAAAAAACAATAGGAAATTGGATGAGAAAATAAAAAAATGAATCAGCCGAATTCCTCAACTTAAGCAACAAGTTATCTCCTAATAGTACTTGCAGATAAATCAATGTAAAACGCCGTCAGGTTACAGTCAAGGAAAACCAATGAAGTAATTTTGTGGTTAGAATATGATACAAGCATTGAGAAAGCCTAATCGGGTTTGAGAAATCAGTTAATCCTCCCGTTTGAACGCAATTGATTCGCCTGTTGCCCGATTAAAATTGATCTGCACAAGGCTGCCGCGCCAACGGGTCAGCGTTGCTGTGATAATTATATTGCGTACCGACGCTAAGCGCGCGCGACGGCAAACAATGAATTGCTCTCAATTTAGCCTGATAAACAGTCTTCTACATCGCGGAGATCAACACCTTTCATCTTCCGATTTCTATGAGTCACGCGACTGTATTGACCTCGATGATCTCCCTGTGGTTTATTTAACCGGCGGCTGATCCTTGTTGAAATAGTTACCCCGGTTGAGGTTAATTATAAATGACCCATTCTGCTGTGTATAACGCTGTGTTCTCCTTGATGTTAGGTATATACGGAAAAAATGACGAGGCCGGCGAAAAGGCCGTTGCCAACGCGTGAGGAACAGGTGAAAGCCCTGAAAACCCATGACGAGTATGATGTTCTTATTGTTGGCGGTGGTGCAACTGGTGCTGGATGTGCATTGGATGCCTGTACACGAGGTGGGTATAGATTTTATTTCTCTAGACTAAGAAATTCTATTAAACCAGTTCTAAAAATCTATGTAATTGATGATTTGTAGGGTTGAAAACAGCATTGATCGAAGCTGATGATTTTGCATCGGGCACATCTTCCAGAAGTACAAAGCTGATTCATGGTGGAGTACGTTACTTACAGAAAGCTATCATGCAATTGGATGTCGAACAATATAAGATGGTCAGGGAGGCTTTACAGGAACGTGCCTCCATGTTACACAATGCGCCTCATTTGGCTCATCCTTTACCAATTATGTTGCCTGTTTACACGTATGTTGTATATTCATTGTCTCCTTTTGTTTTAAAATTCACTATTGATTTACTGACATGCAACAGTACGCCCTTTTCAACAGGTGGTGGCAAATTCCTTATTACTGGTTTGGTATTAAGATGTACGATATAGTTGCTGGATCAAAAACAGTCAAATCATCATACTTCCTCAGTAAATCTAATGCACTAGAGCTGTTTCCTATGTTGAAAGGAGATAAACTTACAGGAGCTATTGTCTATTACGATGGTACATAGTTCATTTTTTTTCTGTCACAGTCATTTAATCTATATCAATATTTATAAATTCTCTTCTGATGCAATAGGTCAGCAAGATGATGCCAGGATGAACTTAGCAGTTGCTCTTACCGCATCACGACACGGTGCAACTGTAGTGAATCACGTTACAGTTGTTAATCTCTTAAAAGGTCTTGATAAGGTACTTTCATTAGTCCGTTCCTCATGCTTGTGCAGATAAAATCTCACACAGATTCGTTATCAGAATGAAATTCCTGTTGTATGTAGGATGGCAATCGAGTACTCGTTGGTGCCCGTGTCAGGGATGAACTCTCCGGAGAGGAATGGGATGTAAAAGCGAAAGCAATAATAAACGCTACCGGTCCTTTCACGGACTACATAAGGAAGATGGATGACCAAAGCGTGAAAGAGATTTGCGCGCCGTCGTCTGGCGTTCATATCGTTCTTCCTGGTTATTACAGGTGAGTAACTTGAAATTGTGCAGCAGTGATACGGAAGAACAACTTTAATCGACAGAGAATAATTTTATACAGTCCTGATCAAATGGGTCTGCTGGATCCATCGACCAGCGACGGCCGAGTGATCTTTTTCCTACCTTGGCAGAAGCAAACGATCGCAGGAACGACCGATTTGCCCTGTGAAATAACGCATAACCCCCGACCGACTGAGGACGAGATCATGTTCATTTTACACGAAGTCAAGAACTACCTGAACCCGGACGTTGAAGTTCGTCGAGGAGACGTGCTATCCGCGTGGAGTGGTATCAGACCCCTCGTCTCCGATCCGAATAAACCGAACACTCAATCGCTCGCTAGAAACCATATTGTACATGTTAGTCCTACGAAACTAATTACGATAGCTGGAGGCAAATGGACCACTTACAGAGCAATGGCCGAAGAAACCATTGACTCCGCTATCAAAGGTATTTTCTTAAACAGTAAGCTTGTTCGATGAGCGTAGTGTTGTTGAAAATGTGTTAATATTCGCATCAATTGTCAAGCTTGCTCTTTGGAACCGGAAAGACCTTGTCAGACCAGAGAATTACTTCTGGAGGGTGCTCACGGTTGGAGTCCTACCATGTACATCAGATTGGTACAAGATTTCGGACTGGAATGCGAAGTAGCGCAACATTTGGCTAAGAGTTACGGAGACCGTGCATTTGCCGTAGCAAAAATGGCTTCCCTCACTGGCAAACGATGGCCAATCATTGGCCAAAAGATCCATCCCGAATTTCCATATATCGATGCCGAAGTAAGTACCATTTAGTTTTCCTAATAATGAAATACTTTCACCAGTGTAACAATTTCAATTAATTTTAGATTCGTTACGGATGTCGCGAATACGCAAGAACAGCAATTGACATGATTGCACGAAGATTGAGATTAGCGTTCCTTAACGTTCAAGCGGCCCAGGAAGCTCTTCCAGGTATCATAGACATCATGGCGGAAGAACTGCATTGGTCAGCCGAGGAGAAAAAGAAACAGCACAAATTAGCCAGCGACTTTCTTGCCAACGAAATGGGTTCGATGGTTAATCGTGCTTCCCGGGACAAGATTCCTATCAATCTCACCAAAGAAGAAATACAATTGTACATCAAACGCTTCGGAATCATTGATAAGGATAACAAAGGATACGTATCCATTAATGACATCAGACGAGGACTTAAGGTATATACATATATTTATAAAGTTGTACTAATTTTATGCTTACTCGGTCCTTTCTTTCGACGGCTTATCATTTAATTGTCAATGTCCAGGTACTTGGAATTAAACTATCGGAAGATGAGATGCATACTTTGCTCAATGAAATTGATCTCAATTACAATGGGCAAATGGAACTGCAAGATTACTTACAGGTAAATCATAGAACATTTATTTAATTATTACGTTTTACTATTCGCAGCTATTCGGTGACAAGGAAGTACCTGGCGAAGAGCTTCATGAAATACTACGCGAAATCGACACTAATATGAATGGTCAAGTCGAATTGGATGAATACCTTCAGGTCTGTGAAAGCTCGTATGCAGATTTGTAACAGAGTTCTGCTGCTTTCATATTCTTTTGTTGCATAACACTATGACTTTCTTTTTTTTCCTGATACAAAAAACAAAGTAATTTGCAAGACCTGTTGGATATTAATGGACTGGCTCATAATACTCTACTCTATTACACATACCCAATTCCGCGTTTTTAATAACAAATTTCTTACTAGTCTTTTCCTTTTATTTGCACGAACAGAGTTATACTTCCTTACTTTTACACTACAAATTTATATTTGTAACCGTAGTACTAAAGAACCTGTCTAATGTAGCGTTTCGTCTTGTATTGTGATGTACATTACACTTATACTGCTCTGCTTCTTTTTCTTGTAAGTTGTTTTAATATCATGCTGCTCTTTTGTCAGATTGTGATAAACTTGTTTGAAAGTTTTTACAATTGTTTGTTTTGGTTTAACATATACAATTTAAATAACTCGTATTTATATTTATCTCTGTATTTTCCTCCTATAGATGATGTCAGCCATAAAATCTGGACATGTAGCATACTCTCGTTTCGCGAGAATGGCAGAGATGGAGGAGGCGCAACATGAGAAAGAAGTATTGAAGAAACAGATCAGTGTGGAGAGATCGGGTGGTGGTCTGTGAAGAGGTTCAAAGTATGCAGCGTCATATCAAAGTAAACATTTGCAATGTGATTAACACATTGAAACCTCTGCGACAAACTGTTTATTATAGGATTTTTATTCACCCTGAAGTTCAAGTGTAGCTCGATCTAGTACAAATGTTCCAGAATCGCAATGATCACTTGTATTTCATACTTTATACAGCAACTTTTATCTGCAAATCAGCTTTCAAGCTCAAACAGAAATTAAACAGCATCCGTTAGATTTTAATAATAAACATGACAAAGTCATCAAAGAATTTGAACGTTAATGTAAATATTTTGTGTACATCTTAGGTACACTGAATTAGCTGTGCCGTGCCTGTATATATGTTTTCTGCAAAATGCAGCACGCTCAAGGTATATCGATGATTGATTATACCGTCATATACTGATCATTAAAATTTATGTAAAATTATACATTTGATCTCGCATTGTAAACTTCCATATGTATGTAACAGACTTGCAACCCGTTACAGGGAACAAGCACTTTAACGATCATAATCATTAAAATACTTCACGACTACAAAAATGGAACACAATGTAGTTTTGTGACCAAAAGCAAGTACCACGAGTAATCTTGTCTCTTGGTACGTTACATGTAATAGTCATGTATTACGGGTTAACTTATGCCATACTACAATTTTATTTTTAGTATTTGATGAGATGACCTATTTATAAATTATATTAATTGCTAATGTATGCTAGAATCAATCTATATATCACCATTATTTAAATAACTCCTTATTTAATTTATTGCCTCTAACATTGCGAAGTCACAACATGTACACCTCTGTTAGAGATTAATTTATTTCACTATCATCAGTCATTATCATTGACTTAATAAAACTCATATTAAACTATCACATCTGAATATATTTTACTCGGTGTACCTTCCTCGCTATTCTAGCTTCCCAGCTTTCAATTTTAACACTTAAAATACTTACAAAATTCAATCACCGACTAGCGCGAAATCGTAACTTTATGTATAATATAACCTTAAAAATTTAAACGAACGATTTAAACGACATGCAGATACCCATATCTCGAATAACGCGTTGCAAATTATAATCTACACACTTGTCGGCATTGAAATAGTACATAGAAATTTATTAAACAAATATTCTACCAAAAAGACGAAGTCTCGACAGGGAAAACAGTTCACGCGAAAACATGAAAAGCATATCGGAAACTACAATGGAAAGGGCGGCGGCATAAAAGGGTGTGCAGCTCCTCCCTTCCCCGTTTCGGGTATCGTGCGATCCGGCGTTCATCAAATCCTCTCATCGTTGTTCACGGTAGCCGATGCAAAAGCGAGAGAAAGAGAACACATGTCCAATAACGACGTCGTGTCGCGACCCCAGCGTACCGCGGCCCTGACCGTTCGGCGGGGGGAGGGAGCAACCGCTAAAAAGAGGGGAAGGAAGGCCAGAGAAAGTAGGAGGTGTGCATCGTTTATCCCTCTTCGACGGGGTGGGCGTCCGACGGCTGCTGCGTACGCCCCTGTCTAACGAACCTCTGCTCGTTGCCAGCAATCGCGATCCAAACACGACCAATCAGAGCCCTCGTTCGTTGGTCTGGCGGATAGCGACGTTGCCACCTCGTGTACCGCCCCACGGCGAAAGTAGTCGTCTCATAGCGGTATTCGTAGCCCTGTTTTCGCGAGGGACGGCCGACCAACACGTTGTCGCTATACGGGTATATACGTGCACGTGTTGAAATCACGTTGGAAATTGGATTGCGTGCGCTCCAGGTGTCCCAAGATAATCGAGGCTCATGGTTCGCTAGCACGAGCATTTGTGGCTTACGAGGAAGAAGCTTCTCTACGCCGGAACAGGGATATCAACTCAGCTGCATCCACAACAGTGCTTTTGGCGGCAACTTTAAACGTAGCGTCAATTCAGCTCGTTCGTTTGAAAGGTTGCTTCTCCCGGCGATCACAGGAGCCGGCGTTCCGCTTCGTTTCACCGATGATCATGTTAAGGACGTAAAAACTTCGAGTTCGACCGAACAAGGAAAACAGTATCACCGACTGTGATTGCTCGGGGTGACGTAGTGCGCTCGCGCGCTCGCTTCGTTAGGACACTTGCTTATGTGTGCAGGGTAACTGAGTAACGTCGGTGAAACGCGGGCCTAGCGGTAACCGGTGCTAAACAAACCCAGTGTATTTTAAAGCATGCTACCGCTAAAGGTCGCTTGGTGATTCCTAAACGCGGAAGGAATGGTCGATCCGATCGTTCGCCGCGTTCTGTAATATGGCCGCCTACAAACTGTTCGGGCGATGAAATGCAACGAGCGCGGCAGGGGTGAGATATTTGGTTCGCTGAAGGGTGGTAGCCAGTGGCGGGAGGCAGTGTGGACGTTTCCGCAGAGAAGCACGTGCCAGTTCGCGAGTTAGGTGGAGTCCCATGCGCAAAGTGGGTGGAGGCTGCATCG